TTTTTTTTTTTTTTTTTTTTTTTTTAAAAAAAAAAAAAAAAAGCTTTGGCTTTTGGGACAGCAGCTATTTGGAGTGCGTGGCGTTATGCTGATGCGCTAGCAATTGGAGTTTCTAGTTCAGGAAAAGGAGTCTGGAGGCAACGGTCCAGGGTTTGGCGAAGCAAGGTGAATTTTGATGGTGGGAGGCTGCCTTGTTCCCTGCCAGGGCACACCTGCAGAGAGTTTTCCTGCTGGGAAATGGCTCTTCAAAAATAAGAGCAGATACTGAGAGAATGTACTGGTTTTTTTTAACTATTCTGTTGAAGTTCCTTTTCTGCTTGCTGTACATATTAAATATATTCTGACCCTTTCTTCTCTCTTCTGTTTCATGATAAAGAGTCATTCCTGCCCTCCAGAACAGAACCAGACCTGTGTTAGTCATGATACAGGACTAACCTGCAGGTAATAGTTTCAGGGGACTATATAAGGAAAAAAAAAATTCTTCTATGGGAAGCTTTTTGGCTGCAACAGATTTTACTTCTGTGGTGATTTTAATGCCTGGTTTCCTCAGGTCTTTGACCTCAGTATTTAACTGGCCTCTATTTCCTCCTCTAGCGCCCTATTTATTTTCCTTTATTTTTGAGGCTTCTAGGTAGCTTCTAAGCCTCCAAACATATGATCCTGAGCAGCTGCCCCTGCATCCAGCCTCTGGAGGAGGGTACCACAGGGTGCAGCTGGGGGAGGAGCAGCTGGACAAGACCCTCAGCCCACCGAACCCCACAGCACCGAGCTGTCCTCTCCTGGCACCCGCCAGCTGCACAGCACAACAAAAAAGCCTCCAGCTACAGCAACAATCCCCACTTCCCACTTGCAGAGCTGCGTTTATCCTGCTCTCCATGGCAAAAAAAGGGAAAGGCCAAAGAGTTCCTAACCCTAATAAAGCCCCAAAACATTGTCAGAGCAGAAAGGTCTCACCCGAGGGAGCCAGCGCAGCATTAGCTGACCTGAAATGCTGTGACCAGGGCCAATTTAGGGTCACGGGTTGGATCCCCTGCAGCCAAACCTGCAACCTGCCCTTACTCTCAGGTGTGGAGGCTGCCTGCCTATCTCTGAAGGTGGAACCCCCACTGTTACCCCCTGACTACCAGACAGCAATAACTCTCACCAGCCTCCTCTCAGGGAGCATGCAGTGGGGTGACAGTGCTGGGACTGCTGGCGCATCCCTGGGAGCAGGGTTTTCCAACTGAGCAGCTCCAGGATCTGTCTGCAAGGAGATCTGCCCCCAAGGGGGACTTTGGGTCTCTGGCAACGCAGCTCGACTGCACTTGAGCAGGGCAGGGGTTAAACAGACCCTCACTTGGAAAGAGTCAAGTTAATGACCAACCCCCACAAGGGTAGCAGGCTGCCTCTGAGGCCAGGGTGTCATGACCCTCCCCATCACAGCTGCACTGAATTTATCTGAAGAGATTCAGAGAGGCAGAATCTGCCACTTCCCTCGATGAAATTTCACTGAAGTGGAATCCATCACCTTGGCAGGGAGTGACATTTTAAACTGCTTTAACTCAGTATCAATGTTCAAATTGATTAGCCTATTTCATCTCAATGGAAATTCTCACCTCATTACATTAGCGGCCAAACTTCAAATAATTTTTGAATCAAATACTACTTAAACAGTATTTCAAAATCCTTAGCTGACAAAATTCATCACTTAATTTCAAATTACTGTCTGCATTTTATGCTAAATTGTCAATGGATGAAATACGTAACAGTTCTGGGAGCTGAGGCTACCCAGCTCCACAGTCTCACAGAAGCACATTTTCTCTCTGACTTGATAAATGCCTCGCTCCTGGCTCAGCAGGGAGCAGAGACTCAAAAGGAGGCTGTGGACAGTATTTTCTAGCCTTCCAAACCCAGCCTATTCCCTGATACATAGGATACTAGCCTGGGAATTAAAACAGGGAGGTTTGATTTTCCTCAGAGAAGGATGTGAGCTGAACCCAAGTCCTCCCTTTCCAGCTATTTCTTTGACAGGTAGGACAGTGGCTTCCAGCCAGGCTGTGAGTGAGCCTAAGAAAACTAGTTCACTCCATATCTCCTTACTGGCTAGAAACCACTGCGGTAGGCAACAGTAAAAAATCCCATCTCGCAGCACTGTCTCCACCAGCTGTGTTTTAGAAGATATTTTTAATTTTAAAAAATCTAAAAAATAATCACTGCCTTGGTTGAGATGCTGGATCCTGTCCGGTGTGCTCTGAAAACACTGCTGCTCCCAGCTCCCTCCAGCAGTTGAGCCCCGCTCAGAGAGCAGGGAAAGCCGCTCCCAGTACACGACTTGCCTCTAAAACATTACGGATCATAAGGTGGTGCCTTGGAATGGGAATTCTGAACAGGCATCACAAGCTTGCTTAAATCCTGCCTTAAATACCTACAGACTTCACTGACCTCATTGTGTTCTCAAAGCAGAGCTGCTACACTGTACTTGGGCAGTTCTGTAGTGCTGCCAGGACCGATGCTGCGCAATTCTGCTACGGCTTAAAAGAAATAAGACTCCTTTGAATAAATAAGCTGTGATAGAAATATATTTACACTATGCACATTTTTACAGGAAATACAACTTGCTAAAAATTTGCAATAATGCCACCACCCTACAATTCACTACAGTCAAAACTAAAGGTTTTGAATTTTTAAGGTTTTTATTAGAGAAGTTGAAAGTTTCATCTCAGAACTGACAATAACATAATTCTCTCTTTTCATTTATTTTGTTTATAGGAATATGTAGAATTTGTTTGTACAAGCATATACAACGAAGTAATTGGTGCTTAGTACATTGAAATCAGGAATCTGATTTGTTCTAAACTACCAGTTTTCCATGCAGTCATCTTTGAATTGGCAGCATGGACAAATTCCAAGCGGAATGCTTACATGCATTGTTTTGCAATATAACTACAGCAAGCTCTGGAAACATGCAAATTAACACATTAGCAAATTGGTTTTATATCTAATGGACATAAAAAGGTTATTCCTGATATGAAATTCTGAAAATCTGCATAAATACTTTTGTGTAAAATTAAATTAGTTATGTACTTTTCTTTTACTACAAGTATCAAGAATGCCCACGTAATTAATATACACACATATATATAGAGACCTTGTTATGCTAAAAGTCTTTGTAATTAATCAAACAATATTCTGTGCCATACATTTATTCAGTATTTACCAGCTAGTAGAATGACTGGGGTCATAGAGTAGGCATTACAGTCTTAGTAGCATTTGTATCACATGCAAACATACTCTTAGCATTTCTGTTGAATAATTTTATCACGTGGCAACATGTATGTGATTTTCTACAATGCTGTGATTCTGAAGTGTATAAATACTTTTTACATTTTCACAGTTACAAACTTTTTGCCAAAAGCCATTTAAACAATCTTTAAGTTACAATGAACTGTAATATCTGGGATTTGCAGCAACAGGATCAAAATGCAATTTCTATACAAGCAATGTAGGATGTAAACTTTTCTTAAAGTGCCTAATATGTAATTCCTTAGAGCACTGATCAGTTTTGGCACAAATATACTGTATTTCCCTCACACTCACCATTGCAGTAACTTTTACAGAATATCAGCTCCTTTCAGACGGGATAAGAGTTGATATGGCACTTGTGAATGACATCATTGGACTGCAGAAATATCCTGTCAAGTTACTGTTACAGTTGATGAATTTGGCCGAAGACTTTGTACATACTGTACTTTTGAACATAGGCAGTTAACTTTTAACTGCCTGCTGCCTGAAAAATACTTTGAAATATAATTTTTTAATTGCCCAAACTCAGCTCCTTACTGTACTGATCATTACGGTGACTTAGCAGAAGATCCAGTTCAGTGGGCTTGATGACATCTGACAAGCTGTTGCTTGTTGGGATCAGGCAGCATGGGGTTTCCACACAACATACCACACATGAGAACACAAATGGTAAATAACATGACCTGACTACAGTTTTGTTGCCATTTGAGATGATGTTAAAAATATCTGTTGTGTTTGAAGGCTCTGATTGTGTAATTCTGATGCAAGGCAAGCTGCCTCTCGAGATACAGAAAGGAATACAGGACTGTGTTTAAAAAACTGTCTTCATCTTCCGATTAGTGTTTTTTCCAAACAAAGGAAATTCATATAGAAATCCAACAAAGGAAACTCAGTGCCCAGTGTTAAAAAAGAAATAATACAAACCTTAAGACTTGGTGGTCCGTAACTACACTTTATATATTAAAAACAAAGAACCAACCCCCCCCCCCAAAAAAAAATTAAAAGAAAAAACCAACAACAAAAAACCCCCCACTTTTCAACCTCAGCAATATTATTTTGAATTTTGCTCTCATTTTAAGGATGCTGTGTTCTCCAACTTCAATTTGCTTGTTGAGGCTTCAGACCACTGTTGCTGGCCTGCGATCCATCTCTGCTTCCAGCTTCACCATCTGCTGCATCTCCTTTGCCTGCAATCCAAAATAACTGCATGAAGCATTGCATTAGACCTTTTGTTCAAAACGAAGCACGTGTTTTATATGATAGTGTCTGAGTGAAATACAGACAAAACACACTGAAGATATATGTAATAACATTAAGTTTACCACACCACCACCACCACCACCCCCCCGCCCAGTGTCATTCTGTTTTCAAAATCAGATGTAATTCTTATGTCTACAAACCCTAGGGTAATATTTTTCATCCTACTCCAAGAGTCATGGGTTGACTTTTTAAAGACACGTATGGTAAAACTCAGAAGCTCCAATTTTGGGGAAGAAAACTAGGCAGATGACTATCTGACTGTTTCTCCTGACAGGAAATGTCTCTGGGAACGTATCCTTCACTGCCGTTGTGTGAGGACTGTGATGTCTTCCTGAAATGTTTAGAGAGTTCACCTGTGATCTGAACTTGTTTCTTTCATAAAGACAATGAATGACAAAAATCCATCAATGTAACATCTTCCTTGCAATTAGGCAAGATCTTTGAAAGTAATAATAATTTTCTAAATTATATGGTAAATATAATAAAATAATAATTAAAAAAGTCTCCATCTGGCCTGGAGATCCGTGTGATTGCAGACGTGGTGTTTTTCACCACAGGATTAGGCGACTGCTCTATACGCTCCATGGGATTACACACCCCCCATCCACCTGAAACTCTATCCAAATGTGCTGTGCAAAATACAGCACTGAACGTATGCCAGATCTGCTGGAAACTCCGCACGCCTCGGGTTTTGCAAGCAGTTAAAGCACTGGGCTGGGAATTCCCTGCTTAGAGAGCTTTTTTAAATTCTCTTCCTCTCCCTTCCTTTCTCTCTCTGACATGCACACATGCACATTTACTTTTCCTGTGGCTCAGTTACACGTTTGAAGTTGCACTTTG